TATATATATATATATATATATACGCTTCTTTCGAAATGTGCACCAATAGATCTAAACGTCCACCAGACGTCCCACTCCACCAACGTAAGCCTATTCCCCTTCAATCCCTTCCGTTACTCTTACTTTATTTTTGTCGGTTCGTATGCGTCAAAGGTTCCACGAATTCCGCGGTGGCATCAGCCGAAGCAGGAGAGGTAGCAATGAAGAAGAAACAGACGGGGCAACGGTGGGGAAGAGCACACCACAGCAGCAGAGACGCACACCAAAACACAAGCAGAACCAAACACAAGACGATGCCAGCGACCCGCGCAAACACGCAGACCTCCGAAAGAGGACGCCACGTGAGCGCCACCCACCCATACACACACATATTGACGCCCACACACAGACGGCACAGCAGCAGCAGCAAGAAACACCCAAACACGCAACAGCACCATGACGCAAACATTAAACGAAATATACGCGCCGCACACAGACACAGACACCACGGCGCCAGCGCAGGCCCACATATATATATATATATATAATATATATATATATGACTCAACGTAAGCGCCGTCCCGCCCCACCAGCGGGAAAACAAAACGGATGCCTTCAGCTGCAGTGACACCCACGAGTCCAAAAGACAAACACAAGTGACACGCAACGTAACCGCAGCGACGCGAGCAGGAAGCGGCGCGCGCACGACCACCAGCCACCCAAGCAGGCATCCGCAACGAAACAACAACCAAAAAAAAACACACCATACGCCCCGCTACAGCAGACACCAACGTCGAGGAGAAGGGCCTCAAACCGCCAACCGTCCTGGGCCGTTCAGCACCTTCTCCACCACGCCACACCCGCAGCAAAATACTCTTACCGAGCTTACCCCATTGCCACCAACAGCAATAACCACAGAAATAATGCAAATCCATCATCCCCTATGCTCAACACAGCGCCATACAAATGTTGCACCCCCTGCCACACCATTTCACCGAAACACACAATAACAACACACCCTGCATACAAATATCCTACGCCAGCTCGACTTCTCACAACCACGTCACCCTCCAACAAAAACAACAAAATATAGGACCACTGCTGTCTTCTCCGTTCTTCTAAAACCAAAGAGGGGAAACGAACAGCACCATCAAACAGCCACATACACAATGCCCGTTCTCTCAATCACCAATTCCANCTTCTAAAACCAAAGAGGGGAAACGAACAGCACCATCAAACAGCCACATACACAATGCCCGTTCTCTCAATCACCAATTCCATTCAATGGGCTAGCCCTCCAGTTCAAGCATCATCACACCAGGTAACTTCCATCGACATACAAAAGGGCAACCTTTCGGCTCCACACCTCCAGAGACCGCCGCGTTGCGGGAAACAGGGTGTGGGTGGGACGATAAAGCAGAACCCTTCCCTCTGGCCCATACTCAAAGGCCTCCGATTAGACAAAACGACAAATTCCGCTCCCCCACACAAAAAAGAACGCCAAGTTGAGGATAAACAAGACTTCAAAAAACTGCTCTCCAAACAAAAAGCAAACAGCTTATGAAACCAAGAACTAGAAGTACAAAACAAAGGAGCTACACCCGAACATAAAACAACCACCATTTTCCCAACTCGCACCAATCTACAAAACATTCCACCAATGATACATAAACCACTCAAACCACTTAACAACTGCACCCATCTCTGTGAAGTGGGTGNGGGGGGGGGGGGAACACAGAGCGGGAGAGAGAGGGAGAGAGAGTGGATGACGCCCGCCCCGGCACGCTGCGCTGCGTGGCCACGGAGGTTGCACGGGAGACAGTCCGCGATGGAAATGAAAAAAAAAAATACCAGTTCCCCAGCAGCGGCGCCCGTGTGACGGCGCCACAGATTGTCCGCGGAACGTTTTCACCGAATAGAAAAGAAGATAGCCAAAAATCAATGGTATATGCGGATTGCGTCACACCGGTGCCTTTTCGCTGTCACTCGGGGAATATCTCATTGCGTGATCGCGTTCCTGGAAACGCCCCGCAAGTTATATATGCTGAGGCCCCATTATGCGAGCACGTGCCGGGCGGCACTGCCCAGCTGTTGGGGAAGGGAGGGAAACAAAAATAAACAAACAATAACACACACCGGATGCGAAAACAGCTGGCTGCAGCGCCTATGCGCACATCAGTGCGAGCGCGGCCGCCGCGCTGGCAAACAGTGCCAACAGAGGCGAGTGCGTCGAAAGCGCGGCGGCACCATCGCCCCCGGTGCACGCGAACGATTTCGAAACACACGTGTTGATCAACTTGCAACTCAGATCCAAAAGCTTCGGGTTGGCGAGTTGCGCGGCATTCCTCAGTGCTGGGCTTGTCCACGTGGACGGTAAGCAACCGCAGAACGAGTTACCCGAGATGTCCAGGGTCATGGCGCGGTCGCTGAAGGTCCCAAAGACAGTGGTCAACGGTCCCCCCATGAAGTTGTTGGCGAAGTTCACTGACACCAGCTGTGGCATCGACGATGCTGTCCAATCAGGCAGTCCCTTGCAGGCCTTCGTGCCGCTGATGGCAACATTCTTCAGGCTGCTCATTCCGTTCCAGCTGCTCGGGATCATGCCGCCCAGCCCCGTGTTGCTCAGGTCGAGGGACTCGAGATTCACCAGCCTTGCCCAGGTGTCCTGAAAAGGGCCAGTGATCTTCTTCATGCCGTTCATGTTGATCTCACGCACTTGAATACCGACACCGGAAAGATGCCTTATGTTCGGCAGCTTGCCGGAGAACAAATCAGAACCCGCCACGCTGGAAAGATCGATCCGCGCATAGCCGTCGGCGTCGCACGTGACACCGGGGTAAGAGCAGTAGTCACTGCCCGTCCACAGACCCTTCAGCGAAGGGATCGAGCTGATGAAGGCGTCCAAGAACCGCTTCGTCTCCGTGGGGTCGCCTTGGGCCTGCACGCTTGGCGTGAGGACACAGAGCAGCAGCGTCACAAGAACGGCTGCTCCGACGTGGTGCTGGTGCTGCGCCATGGCCTTTGGTTGCTTCGCTGTGTCGCCTTAAGCCGCTTGAGCTGCAGGAGGAGAGTGTGGGGGAGTGGAAGGCGGGGGCGCGCAGGCAAGCACGGAAAGGAAGAAGGCAGCATTCGGACCCCGCCTCTCACGGGGCACACCAGAGAGGCGAGGCCGGGCGGCGGTAGGCACAGCGCCGCGGCGCCACGCAGCGACTCGGTGAGGAGTAGTAGGACAATGAGGCGCGAGCGCGTGGTGAACGTGAACCGCCACCACGGCATGTCCGCCAGTCGGCTGAGCCATTCACATCACGGGAAGGGAAGAGCAGGCGGGTGGTGCCACCACCAACACCGTAAACACATGGTAACGCAGAAATGAGTGTCTAGAGAAACCAAAAAATAGCTGTAAAATAACAAAATCAGAAAATAGATCTCAGACGGCGAGGCAGACCGCAGCGAGCACCGCGGCGGCCATCCACAGCGGGCTCCGCCCCATCACCGAAACGTCTGCGGCCCCGCACGTGACAGAGCAGGTGGCGGCAGCTTCGGCGCGGCGCCCACCGTCACGCACACCGCAGGAGGATTGGGGGGCACACAGAGCGGGAGAGAGAGGGAGAGAGAGTGGATGACGCCCGCCCCGGCACGCTGCGCTGCGTGGCCACGGAGGTTGCACGGGACACAGTCCGCGATGGGAATTAAAAAAAGTACGAGGTCCCCAGCAGCGGCCCTTTGTGCTGAAACACCATGGGGGGTGCTGACAGTTTTTTTCGTCGAAGTGCATTTGGAGAGGTCATGAACACAAAATGAGTGATATGTACGGACGTTGGCACATTTATTTCCTTTGGACGTTCGCAGTGGCTGTCGGGTGTGTGGGTCCATCGCCCAACAGTTATCCCATGCTGCGCGAAAAGCCACACATATACTATAACGTGCCAGGCAGTTGCAGGCAGCGCCACTTGCGTTGGCGTGAGGGGTGGGAAAACAATAGACACAAAAAGTACTATGTGGCCCTAAAACGGGGTGTCACACTGCCGATGCGCACACCAGCGCAAACGAGATCGCCACGGTGATAAACAGTACCAGCAGCGGCGAGCCAGTCGCAAGTGCAGCCGCGTCGTTGTACATGCACCGGTAAATTTTCCTGTTGCAGGCGTTAATGGAGCCGCAATTCGGCTGCAACAGGACAGGGTCGGCAGCAGCTGCGGCATCCCTGAGAACGCTGCTTGCCCATGTAGGCGGCACGCAACCACAGAACGAGTTACCCGAGATGTCCAGGGTCATGTCGCGGCCACTGAAGGTCCCGAAATTACGGGAAAGTGGGCCTCTCATTCCGTTGTTGCTGAAGTCCACTGACACCAGCTGAGGCATGGACTTCTCCTTCCAATTGGGAAGACCGCTGCAGGCCTTCGTGTCGCTGATGACAATAGTCCTCAGGCTGCTCATTCCGTTCCACTCATCGGGGATCTCACCCCCCATCCCCGTTCCACTCAGGTCTAGTTCTTCCAGTTGCGCCAGCCGACCCCAGCTAGCGGGAAAGGTGCCACGGATGCCCCTCAAGCCCGTGAAGCTGATCGCACGGACTCGCACGGCCGCGCCGTTGACTTTCCGATACAGCTCAGGCGCGTGACCCAAAATGACATACCCGTCCATTAACACATCCTGAAGAGCGATGGAGGCAACGCCGTTACCGTCGCACGTGACACCGGGGTAAGAGCAGTAGTCACTGCCCGTCCACAGACCCTTCAGCGAAGGGATCGAGCTGATGAAGGCG